CCACTCGCCGTCAGTGGCAGCATCCATCTCATCTGCACAGGCAAGAGATGCAGCCTGGCCAGGTAGAGGGGAAGGAGAGGGTTGCAACCACACATCCGTATACTGTCCCTAATGGACAAGCCGGAGCGAGTGCAACTCACCACTACTCGATGATAGTAAGAGGTAATATTACCCAGCGAGTGCAGTGTGCACCCAACCGCGATTACCCCAAAGGAGCCATGAATTACTCATGAACGTAATAGCAATGAAATGATCCGGGCAATGCAGGATGTGTACTTGGGTCCACGTCAAGCACATAACTCAATGGAGTGGGCTGGAGTTGCAGTTTTCTCCCGATAAATGCCATAGACAGACAGCACTTCCATAGTCCCACCAGCCGCAGTACTGTCCCCCGCTGCTATCCGACGGACAGCCCCTGCAAAGTCAGCAACACTATAGGGGATAATAGGGGGTTATCCTCGTGCTCTCTGTGATCGCGCTCATCAATTCTCAGGTGCATGTCTCTACCGCTGTCTGTTCCTGAAAAATATTTTTTTATTTTTTTTGAATTTTTTTCACCTTTTAGGAAATGCAGTACAGGGTCAAAAAAAAAAAGGAAACAAAGAGGTGAAGAAATCTGAATACCCAGGGGAGAGATTTTCGCGTTCGGGCCGGTCGGTTAGCGCAGCGCTACGCCAGGCCCGTGGCCCTACCCGGGGCCACCAGGAACTCGACGCCGAAGCTGTCCGCGGGATCCTCCATCACGATCTCTCACCGGACAGCCATAGCCAAGTGAGCTTAGACGAACGTCACAACGTGCGCGCGCCTCGAGCTCGTGCTCAGTGTTCATCGCTACTCTCTCAAGAGGCATCGCGAGCGTGACCGAACAACTATAGCCAAGTGTGGCTAGACAAGCATCACCACACGCACGCGCCTTGGGCGCGCGCTCAGAAGTTGTAGCGTCCCTCCCAAGAACACCAACGGCATTACGAGCGAGGATGAAGATGGCTGAGAAAGACTCACCTGAGCTCTGACTACGGATTACAGCATACCTTGGAGAATTCGGACATCTGCGGCCAGCGAGGACTCCCAATCACACACAATCAGTGAGACCAACCAATCAAYCTCACTCCCCCGTACCCTCTTCGAGGCTATCCCCCCCTACTAACCTACAATYCTCAACACCAAGCTGAACYTCCACCGCTCTTCCCCRAACTCGTTCAAGTCTCCAACCTCATTTCGCTCTCAACTAAAYGCTCCAATCTCCCTCCCCCATCAACCTCCCTATCACCCCCCAACCTCCATTTCTCTCCCAACACCACCACAGCTCAGCTCCCCATTATAATCCAATCTCGCGACCTATCTCGCCTCCAATCTCACCTCGACTCCATCCCGACCCCGAACCCGACCCCCTCCCTCCCCCACATCGACCGCGACCTCACCCTCATTCCCCCCCATCCCGACCCCAATTTCATCTCCACTCAGACCCCGCTCCCATCTCCTTCCCAACACTAACCACAGTTCATCCCCACTTCGACACGGTCCACTCTCGTACTCCGACCCTGACTCCTTCCTCACGCCAACACCACTCCGTTCTTACCCCCCTCCCGATCCCGAATCCCTTACCACCCCGATTCTGACCGCATACACCCCATTCCCGCTCTCGCTCTTATTCTGAACCCGATCTTGTCTCCACCCCAATCTTGATCCCTTCCCTCATTCCAACTACGATCCACCCCCGCCTCGATCCCACCACAACCCACTCACGATCCCATCCTCAAACCGTTTCAGCTCCTATCACCCATCCTGTTCTCGACTTCACCCCCGATCCAATCACGATCCTCTCCCCGTCTCTTATCCCCACTCCGAACCCGAATTCATCCCCACCCCGATCCTGACCTTATCAACCCCAATCYCGCTCTCACTCCCAATCTCGATYCCATCCCGAACCAGACCCCTTCCCCCATTTTACTCTCAGTCTCATTCCCAACCCGACAACGATCCTTTCCCCACCCCGACTCTGRATTCATCCCCGCYCCGCTCCCAACCCCGACATCAATCCTACTCCGACCCCATCCTAATMCCGATCACTACCCACTTACCCGGCCTAAGYCCTTAGCGCCATCAAACATACATCACCTACACCCCCCACTCCCTTGGCGCCCCACTACATTTCTCCACCCTCCCCTTTTACCACAAACCTCCTCCCCCTTCCAGTGACAGCTCCACTCACAACCTCTCCCYCTSCCTTCCTTCATTGACAGCTCCATTCACAACCTCTCCTCCTCCCTTCCTCCCTCATCGTAACATCAGCATTTCAATAATAACTTCTCCCCACTACACCTCTCCACCCCCCCTCCATACCACAATCTTTCTCCCCCTTCCATTGACAGCCCCATTCACAACCTCCCCCCCTCCCCTTCCTCCCAACCTTACTTTGATCCCGACACTATCCCCGCTTTCGATCCCGTCTCCAGATTGATCTCGATCCTAACGCCTTCTGGATTCCGATCTCGAATCCCGATCTGCGTTGCATCCGATCTGATCTGTCTCCCACCTGATCCCACTTCTCCTCCGATCCTGATCGGTATCGTAACCCACCCGCTTCCATTCCATCCCCGATTCCGACCCGCCTCCATCGCAACTCACCTTCATTCCCAACCACCCACAACTCTCCCCGGCCTGATCTCAATCCGATCCCTTCTCTCCAACAATCACAAACCCTCTCGACCAAAACTCGATCCTTACCCCTCTGATCACTCACCCGATCCCAGTCCACCTCAACTTCCAAGAGCCTATTTTTCTTCCCCCACTACTTAAGCCGAGCCCCCAGAAGGGGGGCAAACTCGCTTCTACTCTCTATCTCCCCCCCAGTCCACCCAACGCAGCCAAGCGACCACCAATCGCACCCCCGCTGGATAAGCCGATCCCCAAGTCGGGAGGCGAATTGCTGTCAAATTTTCCATAGAACCACACCTCACAACCATCCACCCTGCGCCCCCCCACTGGTCATCTGATTATCAGCCTTACCCCTTTGATTCACTGTTCCTTAACGCTTCACTTTCTGTACACCAATCAACACCCCCCCACCTGCTTCAGCCCTCATTACACCCACCGCCCGACTACTATCTCTTACCTACCAGCATCTTCATCACTCCTGACACGCCCATTCGGACTCAACCCCACTAACCCTCCGTCAAACTTCTCGCTCACCTACTTACCCGCCCTCTCACCCCCCCCACCATCACTCGTGTCAGCCGGAACAACCTAATTGATAGTCAATAGGCGGAACTGGGGATACCTACGGAATCAACGCAGAAGAACAGAATCCAATAAAGATGGACAGTCCGAAGTCGCCCGGATCACTCACTGACCAGGAATCATCAGATAAAAGAGTCAATGTGATTGATAACGAAGCATTAAAATTCCTGATAGAAAAGACGAAAGTCCAAGGCATCGAAACTACAGAGAAACAGTTGATTGACGGGAAGGAAGAGGAAGTGGTGATATGGAGATACCCCGAAGAAAAAATTGCAGAACTCGACGACCTCCATGAAAAACACGGAGTGGTATTMAACTTCGCACGCCATGGAGCAGATCTCCAACCCGCTGAGAAGAGRAAATGGGTAATTGAAACAATCAGGAAAGAACCGAGATTCAAACAGATAGGGGAAACCTTCTCACTGCAGAATCTGGGTCGGAATAACATTATGGTACTCTTCGTGAATGAGGAACATGCAAAGATTGTTGCTGAAATGCAATCAAGGAATTGTCACGGTTCAGTCTGCACAATAACGAGATGGAAGAAACTCTCAACTCAAAGGCAAACCCCGGGGTTCGCAGTTTCTTACAAACAGACTTTGCTGAAAGAAAATTACTGGGTACAGTTCGATAATATCCATCCGGGATTCCACGSTCTGCTGGTCGATAGACTWGAAAGACAGTACACAACAAACAAAATCCTGAAATGGATCTTACCCACACCAGAGTTTCTRGCACCTYACTGTGGTTCCATGACARCGATCTTGGATGTGCAAACAGATGACCCCCCAGTTTTCCCTCTGGTCTGGAACTTCCAGATTGAAAACAGGGTAATTGAGGTAAGGATATCAACGAGAACCTCGCCAATCTGCTTTYGCTGCAGAGAGCGAGGCCACCTGGGTGCAGAMCCCAACTGTCCCAAATATCCCAAACAAGCAAAGGAAAGAAAGCTTCTACCCAACATGCTGGTTGAGGTGGAAGATGCACCGGGAATTTGGTACGTGGCAGACTCATTCTATRWTGGATGGGTTTTTGACGACAACCTTGATGARYCGGACTGGGWCTGGCACTTCGCAGACCAAACCCCATGCTCCAAAAAGCCAGACATTTTCCCCCCTGCGGACAGCAGGTGGCAAAAGAAGGCAWCRKGGAAAGTGAAAGGTAACCCAGCGAAGTTTACCACCGTGCCCATTACCGACTCAAGGGTGATCAGGGAAGAGAAGGCAAGAGAGGACCTACTGTGGGATTTGGACACAATAAGAGAGCAGATTGAACAGGAATTCAGCAAAGAACCCATTTCGTTCAGAGAAGCATTGAAACAAGCTGAAATACAAACATACAAAAGAAGGGACAAAGCACAGGCTGACAACAAACGTCAACTTCAGGAAGGGGGCAAACCTGCAGAAAAAGAATCGGGACTGAAGAGAAGAAGAGCTGACGAACCAACAGAGGCAAAGGGAGCTGGGTCGGGAGGGGATGGAATGGGCCTTGACTCTACAGGTAACCAGGCGGACGATGAAGCAGAGAAGGAGAATGCCAAACCAGAGACTGGTTCCTCAGAGGAGGAGGACCGTTCCACGCGGTCCTTATCCTGGCTCAGGCAGTATGTGGAAAAAGCAAAAAGGGAAAGGGAACATGCATTTGATGTGAGGGTAGCATGCCAGAACATGCCGAGAGATCTCAGGTGAATGGCAAAAAGGATGCTACCGCAGGAAACAGCAACTCTTCGAATCAATTCGCAATCCTTCAAAAAGCCAAAGTGGAGGAATTTTCAGAATATGCAGCATTCAGATATGCAGAAAAGAAGAGGGCAAGAGATCAAGGCACAAAAGACAAAGACAAGACCATTCCCACAACCAAGGATAACTTCCAGGACCTGCGTCCCAAGGCAAGAAAAACAGGCAAAAATCAGAAAAGAAAGGACGCCAGCAACAATCAAATGGAGGTGGAAGAGAAATCTGAGCGGGACCTGTTGGAAAAAGAAGTTGCAGTGGTGCTGTCTCAAACTGAAAAGTTGAAGAAGTGGAACAGAGAATATGCACCAGAATTCACAACCATCTCACAGATTGCAAATGGCAAAGCCCCAATGGTGGTGGAATCGGCTAAAGCAGCCCGAAGGACGCTGAGAAACATCAAACCACTGATCGCAGCCAGATACGAGCCAAATGCGAAGGAGTGGCAAATCGCAACTGACATAGCGTTCCATATTCCCCATTTTGTGGAAGGGGAGAACGTGGTCAAGTCGCTCAAAAGACAGGTGTCTCTAGAAACCCCATTGGGACTGTTTGAGACGATTGCGATTCAGACAAACCGGGACGAGTCCTGCTCCCAAGAGGGCGAAGGAAGCACTCACAATGGAAAGGGAGATTCAAGCAGGAACTCCCCAAGAGCCTTCTCCCCCTTGATAGCCAAGATGCCAGATTCTACGCAGCTAGGATCAGGGATGCTATGGAGACCCTGGCGAACAGTGACTGAAGTCCCATACAGCATCCTCGCAGGTGTTGGAGTGTCGGCAGAATTGATGGCCTCAGCGCTGGCATACATCGTAGAAACAGGCCAGCTAGAAGGAAACGAAGACCTGGACGCGAGAGCTTATGCTGTGGACAGTGAAAGATTCTATAAGAGTGATGCTTCAGATGGCGAGTCATGGGACGGGGATGATGAAAGAGAAAAGTTGGATCAGCTGAAAGATCTGGACAAAGTCGAGAATGGCCAAATGGAGTCTGAGGGGACAGAAGGAACAGACTCAGAGAAGGTGGTTTCGGTGGGAGTTTCTGACACCCTGCCCAGGGAGGTCAATGGACAGATCACCATCCCAATAGACAGAGTGGAGGATACGACGAAGGATAACCTAAGCCCTCTGTAAACCAGGTAACTCCCTAATCCACCCTAACAGTATCCATGGAGAACTATAGGAGAAGAGCGAATGAGACGGGAAACCAAATTAATTGGAGAAACCAAGGTCTTACTCTTAGGAGCTGGAATGTCAATGGTCTAGGGAACATAATGGAAAGAGAGGAAAAATGGAACGACCTATGGTCAGGACTGTCACTGAAAAACAAAAAGGCAGCGGACAGAGTGATGCTCCAGGAAACTCATCTCACTCTTTCAGCGGACCATAACAGAATTCGCTCCTTTATCGCCAGAAAGCTTGGTGGTCTGAGGGATGAAATATGGGCGGCTGATCCTGACTCCAGCACCAAGGGAACAACCATAACAGAGGATTCGTGAAAACCAAAGAAAACAAAATCTCTGGTTTGCACGAAATATTAGCATAATTCAAGAAAAGTCTTTTTTCGAGGGCGTTCGGTACACTGTCATTCGGCGTGAAGGAGAAGGTACCAGAAACACAAAAAACAAACACGATTAGCAAAAGTGGGATCCGGGGCTTGTAGTTTCGTAACAAAATAGCAAAAAATAACAGTCATCCGTTACACCTAAACCAGAGCAAACCGGAAAGGCACGAGTTTTCGTCATCTTTTCTGTCTCGTTTCACAAACAAATTCTATCAAGCTGAAATCAAGCTGTTTTACGGAGCTTAGTTTTTAACAAATCCAAGGTTTACGAAAAGGTGCAAAATTTATCCCCTAAAGAATCATTAGAACACCACGAGATAGAAAAACGTGGATAAAAGTCTTCAAAGTCGAAACATGTTTACTGTTCCTCGATTGCTCGTATGGGAGTGCTAAGATATGTAGTTGTTTCTGAGAGTCGAGAATCGGACTTTGTGCACATCACACTACTAGCATGGAACTTTCGTACAAGTGTTTTATTTTGTCAATCATTGCTTCAAAAATTGATATTTCTTGTCTTAAAGGTTATAGCCCTATACTGATGATTTATTCTCATTAAATCATACAGTTCAAAAATAAATTCGTAAACTACTATAATTAATTTTAACCTCTTTTGTTTAAGTAGTTATAGCCCTATAACACTGTTATCCATGTGGGAGGTTTTTGTGCCAATGAATTAATCAAACGATGAGAACACAAAAAATACAAAAAGTCCTGAAAGTCGGAAATAAAACGAGGTGCACATCAGACTAATCATATGTTACTTTAATGTGATGTGTTTTTCTTTTCAACATATGTTATTTATGAATTAAATATTATCTGTATTAGACATTAATGCCCTACAGTGTTCCCCCGAATAGAGCGTACGGTCATTGTGGCTGTATTTGGGGTGTCTTTCAGTCTAAATACAACTCTAATGATTATGCGTTGTATTCGGGGGAAGACTGTAGTAACATGCTCACATTTCATTAGTATCGAAGGTCGCAGGCCTAGTTGGTCTCAGTCCCAAAGGTAACGTCGCAGGCGAGTCAGACCAGAAGTCCAAAAGGTAGGCCCGAAAGGCCACAGCAGCAGGGGTCACGTCTGTTCAACTTCTACTGTGGCCTTTCGGACCTGCCTTTTGGACTTCTGGTCTGACTCGCCTCCGATGTTTACAAATTTAAAATTTATAAATTACTGAATTGGAATAAATAAAAATAGATAAATCAAATCAAAAAACATATGTAATACATAAAATTAGAATTACATGAACGTGATAAAATTTAAAATTATATAAAGGTATATATCTATGTAAAGATATAAATG